TTACATTTTTACTAGATAGTGCTGCTTTAAGGGATTTAATTTTATTTAAATGTGGTATACTGGTGAATTGGACTTTTAAATTTTTTATGTTGTTATTATAAATGTTCAATGATTTATTTGAAAGATGTATACTTGACATTGAAAAATTGTATGTGACTTTTTTCTGTTCTCTTGATGATTTCCTTGCATAATTTTTTTATGTACAATATTTGGCACAGGTTGGAAATGTTCTGAACTATTCTGATAATGCCTGAAGGGAAGAATCACTGAAAGGAAGGGTATCTGATTTTCTTTAAATGTACTAACCACCTACCATAGACAGTCTGTGAGCAGTTACATTTAGCAAAGATTTGTCCTTTGCCTGTCTACATTGGCTAACATGAATAAATGTCTACATTGGCTAACATGAATAAATGAATATTCAGTCTTAATGACCACTAAGTACTTGTAAACAAGTTTCAAAAAATGTTAGTCAAATTAAACCATCTACATGACTTTCTGGAGAATGTTAACAGTAAAATTCAGAATGTGTGTCATTGGAGATCATATTGTGAAACCAGCATTAATTTAATTTAAAATAAATTTGAAATCCGTAGGTGGGCTTTGTTATAGAATAATTCGATTCCACATGTGAAGGAACAAAAACTTTCACATTTTTTGCACACTTGTGCACATTTTAAAAGTCACATTTAATACTGAATTTTCAAAAATCCAGCAATGTATTGTTCAATATGAGTATCAGTGACAAAATACTGTTTTAGATGTTTTTCCTATTTCTGGCACATGTGAAATTTATGCTTTTCACCACATGAGTAAAAGACATTATCTTTTGAGGGCAGGGAGTTTCTGCATCTTGGTTTCAAGCTACTAACTCCTTATAACATAATGAGGAAATGATACCTTTTGAGGGGGAACCAAATTTAAGCATCAGAACTGCTTACAAGAATAACTTCAAAAATCAGTTGGAAAAAGCATTCTGAAGTGAGAACTTGTGTCTTATTTTCTGGTAGAAAGTGCAATTTTAGAACAGTAAAATATTTGCTGGGTTATAGTTACTCACTTTGTTTTGTATTTACAGAATGTCTAATTTACTCACTATAGACTTATGACTATGATCTTGCCATGGCTGACATGAGTTATGATGGTTTTTGCTACTAGTTTTAACTCATTACTATCCCTTGCTTAATACACTAAACATATCTTAAATTAGGATCCTCTCACGGTTTATTCATTTCTATTCATACAAATCTAAACTTCTGATGTAGATTAAAATAATCTGGCAGGTTTTCTAACATAATTTTGATTGGATCTGGAACTCTGAATCTCTTCTTTGATTAATGTCAGAGTCAAATTTCGCAGGCACCTTTAAGGAGGTCAACTATCAAACTCTTTGTTTCATTTAAAAAACTGTAAAAAAACAAATAAGATTCTCAACCACTTAAATTTTGCCACAGTGTTTCCAACACAAGGACATATCCTCAAACTCTCTGGGGGACCTAGTGATGAGCTGTGTTGTATGCATGCCCTGGAAATCCCTGTAGGCAATCATCTCTCTTCTACTAACCCATTATCCAAAATTGATTCTTTCTGGTTACCAAAATGGCAATAAAGGCACTGAGAATACTGGGAAGGAATGGAAGTCATGACCTTAATTTGTGAGGTATCTTGAAGACAAATATAATACCTTTATAAAACCCGTCTCCGCTTGGGCGCCATATGGAATGATCTACGGTTATTTGATGTAAAACCTACATATATTATTATACTCCCAAAGGACCGAAACAACAAAGTCAGCATCTAAATCTACAACTTAAAAAGCCACATAAATTAAATTAATAACAAATCACACATTTCAATTATAAAAACTGATCTTGTTTAAAGAGAAAATATGTTGGAAGTAAAGGAAAATATTGCAAAATATTTGTTTGCTGCTGGCATTTTTACATCTCCTGATATCTAAAATTAGTTTTTAGTGTCTTTCCTACTTCTTGTCATAATACCAGAACTTAAAAGCATAAAGCATATGGTGCATCTCAGAAAATATTAATTTGGTATCTATTACCATTCAATAAGGACTGGGGGTAGGGGGCGGTACAAAAAAAGAGAACAGTTTAAAATTCATTGAAATAATTTCCTATTCCTTTTCCCCCTTGGAATCACAATTAAAATCAATGTGACAAAACCGAGGGAGAATCAGAAGAAATACAAAAACTTTATTTAAGAAAGTTAGACTAAGATTTTTGTGAAAAGGTTATTGGGCCGAGTATGGAGAAAGCAGAGGAGTAATTTCATGATGGTCTTCAAGTACAATACATGAAAAGTTACTTAGAAAGCTGTTCTCATCTCTTTCAAATGACCTAGGAATGCGTCTGCCTAAAAGTGGGTAAGGGATTAGATTTTTCAAGGACTTCTCTAGGCAGTTTTAGTTCATAACAATGTAATCTGTTTTAGTCCCTCTCTCTTTGCAATAAATTAGTATAAAATTGTCCACTGTAAATAGTGCTTATTAAATGTATCTATTATTATAAAATAAATTATTGACATTGTATAGACTATTCTTTTTATTCAAATTTCTAGAAAACATTATCCTTGTTATAATGTTAGAAATAGAAATGGGTACATTCACCCTGTTTCACTCTTTCACAGACACACCTTTACAAAAAAAAGTATTCATTCATAATTACTTAAAAAGATGAAGAATAAATCATGATTCTCAATAATTGTCTCTTTTATTTTCCAGGCATTGATTAAAAATAAGATTATATATGTTTATAGATTATTTCAATATGATAGAATTAAGTGAACAATTATATATATCATTTTGTCATCATATTCAGTAAGTTAGTGGAATTTGATGGTGAAGTTACATAAAACTGCTAATTATAGGTCATTCATTACAAATACAAATATATTTAGTAAAAAGTGGTCTAGAAAAGCCTATATCCTCCCACCTTGTTCCCAAAGCACTCCTCCACCCCACACACTTATTTTTTGGAAGAGGGGAGGGAAAAAATCACCTAAAATGTCCCTGCTTTATAATTTGGTGGCAATATTGCCTTTCCCTTTTGAAACTGATACATTTGTGGTCACTGATTATGGCTTTGAGTGAAGTCCTCTAGTACTACTTCCAGGCAGGTTGCAAATTGCACCACACTTTTTTGTTTCTCTTGAGGCAATATATTATTTTTAAAAGAAATGAGGTTCTTCTGTAAAACAGATACAGGTTTTCCACTTGCTTCATGGATAATATTGGGAAATAGTTTAATTTCTTAGAACCTCTGTTTTCTTAACTGGAGAGGCAGAATGACTTCATACTGTTTTGTGATGATTAAATGCCAAAAGTAGCCACCATATTTTCAGCATCTACTCTGATCCAGTCATGCCATATATTCCTTCATTATCATTAATCTTTATAACAGTGATGTGTTGATCCAAGAATGTGTATGTAAAATGCCCATTACAGTGCCCAGCTCAGTAAATTGTGGTGCCGGCAGTGGTAATAAGAGTAGCAGTAGTTGTAGTTGTTCTTGTGACTTGTCATCTTATGCCCCCACATTCTCACTTTAACTGAATCAATTTAAGGATATGAACAGGCAGCAAGATTATAAGACACAGGATTCAAAGTCGGGTTTATCTCACCAGGATATATGCTTTTAAACATTACACTATATTGTTATGGGTTAATTTTAGATTTTAGATTTGTTAAATCCTAGCACTATGCATACAGGCACTTCATTTTCAATGGCACAATACTTCCAAATTATATTTTAAAACTGTTTTGTTGTTTATTTTTTCTGAAAACATGCTGGTATATTTATTTCCTAAAGGGCAGATATTCTCCTATGGATTTTTATGCACTTACATCAGGGCGTCATTTCAATGACTTAGCTACCTGACTTCTTAGCCAACTCTTCAACTGCTGGTCAAGGTGTTTCTGACTTCCTTGTTCTTATGCAATGGGACAGAAATCTTGGTTTGGGATAATAGCCTGTTCTCCATGAATTATATTTCTCAAGTGTAATAACTGTATGTATGATTGCTGTGCCTCTTTGAATTGCTGTTATTGCTAATGAAGATAATCTTAATGTCTTAACTGATGATTCATACAGTTTTACATCTAAATTTAATCTGATGTATTAATTTCATAAATCAAATTGTAGAAATAGAATATAGCTACATAATTTACAATCACTTTATATGCCAATAGGTGTAATTACTAAGTAATATAAATTCAGCAGGATCTGTTATTTAATGTTTATGTTTAGCCTGTGCTATGCATTTATTTCTACTTAGTAAAAGGTTCTATGCTTCTGGGAGATTTAAAACTTAAAAGACAGATGTGGGGGCCGACCCGGTGGTGCACTTGGGAGAGTGCGGCGCTTAGGAGCGCAGCAGCGCTTCCGCTGCAGGTTCAGATCCTGCATAGGGATGGCCGCTGTGCTCACTGGCTGAGCGTGGTGCAGGTGACACCAAGCCAAGGGTTGCAATCCCCTTGCCGGTCACACATACACACACACACAAAAAAAAGACAGATGGGGAAAAACCACTGAAGCATGATCCATTTGTCTTACTAGTATGTATATTTAAAGACATTAAAGATCCCAGAACACTACTTAAAATTATATCATTTATTAGGACATGCAGGGATTATTTGCTAATTTTACATTATGTTTATTAGATAAGAAGTGTATAATGAGATTCCATACAAAGCATAGACATGTACTGAGAGCTGTACAGTCTTAGAAATGCTGAAATAAAATAGTTAATTGACTGCTAGGGAGCAGTTACCCATTCCTGTTTGCTCAGAATTTGACCAGTACATATAAAGGTCTGATTCATTTAAAATGCTCTAAGTCAAATTAAAAAGTAACCTTCAGGAAATTATCTATCACCCACTTTGCAGACATCTGTTAAAAAAAAATGTACTACATATATAAGAACCACTTTACAAAGTAGACTTTTCCCTTGTATTATTCTTATAATTGCGAATTTCTGTGAAAATGAGCAACGGCATTAGTGGGCTGGCTAGCTTTCAGAATAGTCGCTCACTTCATGCCCTGCCATTAAAACCAGAGCAATTTTACAGTTTATATAGCTCATCTTCACACGTTCTTACTTTGGCTTCACAACAACCCAGAGAGGAGGGTAAGTGGAGCGAACTTTTGTCATTCCCGCCAGCCCAGCATCCCAATGCCTTTTCTACCTGGGAGACCCCTGCCTAAGATGCGTGGAAGGCAGGGCTCGTCCTCCTGAAATCAAAGGAGAGCCGACAGGTGCTCTCGCACATGCTTGGCAGGTTAAGCGCTCTCATGTGACTGAGGCTCAGCCAGTGAGCGAATCAGAGAAGCTGAGGAGGGTTGGGGGCTCTCATTCCCACGGAAGCAGTTTGTATGATGGGCTGTGCCTCTTGGTAGTGGAACCAGCTAGAGTTTTCCAACTCCAGGGCGAGCAAAGGTAACATGGGTGTTCACTAGACTCCTTTGGTTCTGCCCATTTTTCCTAAGGTTTTTCAGCCTTTCGCCTCAACTAGCCATCTCATAGCTTTTCAGCACATCCCTATCATGTTTAAACTTAAGTAGAGTAGCTTTGGGTTGTCTGCACCAGAACACAGATGATTATAATAATCATCACTATTTCTCATTTATAGATGAAGAAACTGAGCCCAACTGAGGTTAAAAAAACTTACTTGAATTGTAGTTATGTAGAAAAAACGAGTCTAGATCCCATGACTTCGAGATTAGCCTTGTTTCATTCACAGCACACTATTTTCACAGATGCCTTCAGTGACCTCTGCAGACAGTGGGATGTGCTTCCTTTCTCCTCTTTCTCCTTGATTGCCATTGTAATTCCTGTTGTAATGCTTATCTGCCTGATGTCAAATTAGGTTATAGACTTGAGCACCTTGGAAGACAAGGACTGTATTATATATTCATCACTTTTTTCTCAAATATATACTGGAGTACCTGTTTGTATAGTCAGTACTAATAAAGATTTTAATGAATGAGTGAGCAAATGAATGCATAAATTACTCAATTAACCGAAAACACCAATATGGATTTAAAGTTGGTGCTAAAAGGATAAGATTGATTTTAAAACAAATCACTTATGTTTTTACCAATAAAAATTTTAGAAAATTTTAAAGTGCTTTGCCTTGAACCTATACAGATGTTCACCTGTAAGCATTTATTCCATGCTTATTGTGTGCCAGTTTCTTTTTACAGAGATAAATAAGAATTAGTCTCCTGTTTTAAGAAGTCTGACAGACTGACGAAGGAAACAAATGATTCTGTAGCTCAGATAATGTAGCTGTGGGGAGAAGAGCTATGGTAATCTGAAGAATGATTAGAGCAGTAAGCCCACTGTCAGCAGCGATGGGAACCACTAAACTGGCGTGTAGATACAGCTCTCGGCAGGACTCTGCACACATCAAGGACAATAGCCATAACTTTTGAAAGCTGGAGAAAAGCACAATGTCTGCTTTGCCTTTCCAGAATGGTGTGAGATTTGCATCAAAAAAGAAAAAATTACTTGAACTCTTAATGTAATTAATTTTTAAAGGTTATAATCAAGTCTTGCTATCAAAACACTTTTTGAACAATTTTGAAATTAACTATGAACCATTTGGGGATAATACATCAAACTATATTTCAGTTTGGCACAAAGATGAAAATGAAGATATACCTATATCTTTAAGCATTACAGCCCAATACAATAGAAGCAACGAATAAAGTTATAGATAAAAGGATATAAAACCATATATGTGTGTGTATGTCCATGCATGTATATATAAAGTAGGATAAAATGTGTTATTATAATTTCCATTCTTTACAAATTAAGCACAAAGTAGGAGAAAGATTTAACTCCAGAATGTTCTGGTATCATTTGCAGACAACTACTACGGTACTCCGAAGCCTCCAGCAGAACCAGCTCCACTATTATTAAATGTAACAGACCAGACACTTCCAGGAGCCACTCCAAGTGCAGAAGGAAAACGGAAGAGAAATAAATCAGTGAGCAACATGGAGAAAGCAAGTATAGAGCCTCCAGAGGAGGAAGAGGAAGAGAGGCCTGTGGTCAATGGAAATGGAATAGCAGTAACGCCAGGTTAGTCATGTTCAGTTTTTATAGGTTCATTAATTTGCTGTTTTAGATATATGTAAGTATACATATATCTTACATCTTTTTGTTTTGTTTTGCTTTTGGTTGTTTTCTTTTTCTTTTTTTAATTTTAATTTTATTTTTATAATTGTACATGTTTATGAGGTGTGATTTGTTGTTTCAATATACACATATATTGTGTAGTGATCTAATCAGAATAGTTAGCATATCCATCACCTAAACATTTATCACTTCTTTGTGGTTATAACATTCAGGATCCTCTTTTCTGGCTATCTTGAAATATGCAATACAATATTATTAGCTATTGTCACCCTAGGGCATCAGAACTTATTCTTCCTATCTAACTGTAACTTAGTAACTTTGTGCCAGTCTACCAACCTTTCCCTATCTGCACCCCCCCTTCCCTGCCTGTGGTAATCACTATCCCACTCTCTATTTCTCTCTTTTTTCCTCTCTTTTGAATTTATTTTCCTTAATTGACCCATGATAATTGCATCTGCATGTTCAGGTGTAAATATATATGTATACATATGTATACGATGATTACAATTATCTTCAGAGAGAGAAGATTATGATATCAAATGGAAAGGATTCTTGTATCTAGTTTATTCTACATTTGGCATATTCATTCAACTTCCTTAATTTTTGGTTTCACTTATAAAATATTAATAGCAACATAGTGAATGGTTTAAACCTCTTAGAAGGAGTGACAAGTCATGAAAGTTTAGAGGTCTTTGTTAATTAATATTAGAGAAAACCTATTCTTAGAAATCTTTCTGTGCTTGAGGTTCTATAAATAGAATTTGTGTCATATGATTTAGGTAACAACTTCAATGAATATAGTCCTCAAAATGGCTACAGCTACAAAATACCCACGTATTTGTCTCCCCTCCCTTACCACCGTATCTGGCAACATGGAGAAAGCATCTTTATGCATTGACAATATGAAGGCTCCTACCCTTGAACAAGGAATAGTTATGCCTTTGATTTATCAGTCATCCCAAATATATGAAGAATATTAGATGCATATAAAGTATGTTTGTGCAAGGTATGGATTTGCCTTTTTCTTATGCTTATTACTAATGGAGCCCCCAAAATAGATTTTTTTCAAAATATTATTTATAATTAATTGTTACCAAAAGACAACAGCAACAAAAATTATGGCATTCTGTTAGCCTCTTGGAGTAAATTTTCAAAATTTTGTTTTACTTATTTGTTTTTAATAGTAGCATATCAGTGGGCACAGAAAATCTAAAGGCTCTGTTAAAGCTCTTAAAAAATGTTAGCACATGCATCTTGTGTACATGTTATTCTTAAGGTATTTCCTACCACTACTTTGATGTCCTCATTTTTATTTTCACTATGCTCCTTCTGTACTGACATAGTATTTGAATTTTCATGCTCAATTATTTTTAACAAAGAAAATCTTCATAAGCTTACTTTTTTATCTTCCTTGTTCAAAATACCTGTAAAAGTGTTCTTCTTAATTGAACATAAGGTGAACATGAGACCAAAATCTAATCTGTGCCAATCAAGGTATAAAACCTTATAAGGTGGCTTCATCGTGATTACTCAGAAGACAACCTCCTCCGTTTATATACCTGGGTAAAAAACATATTCTCTGACCCTAGCAATTACTGATTTCTAGATATAAATGCTAAAAATCACTATAAGTAATGTAACTTGTCTAGTATAACATGATCTGGCAATTTTCAACCAATTAGACACCTTCCTCTTATTTGATTCTGAAGTGTCTGTTTCAAAATATTTGCTTTTCATTATATAACTAAAACTAATTTAAATTATTTTGATAGTACATAGTTTGCTTAGTTGATCTTTGATGTGAGAAGCAAAACAACTCACCTGAGTTGAAACAGTAATCACAAAAGTAGCGGAAGTTATGGATCAAAGAACAGCTACAGAATTTCTTCCTAGTTAACACCTTGTGGTTAAAAATGTAAAATACAAGTATATGGCCCTAGCTAAGACCAGACCATTGATTTCTATCTCATTTCTAATCTGTGTAGGGCAAATAAAATGAAGCATTCTTGATCCGCAGTTTCTTAAAATAGAAACTTATTTAGTTGGGGAGCGTGGTGAATCTAGAAAGCACCAATCCCTTCAATTCATATCTTAAGCATGAGGAAGGTGTACTTTTATGGCTAGGAAGTCTTTATGGGCCCCAAAGAATTCTTTATGGGTTGAACTCTTCTTGAACAGCTCCAGCCATATGACCGTCTCTGAACCCCTCAGCCTGAGGATGGCAGAAAACAACTGTTCAGGCCAACTCTAAGTTTTCTGGACAGTCAACAGATGACACCAACAGTGGTTTTGTAAGCCTGGCTGGGCAAGTGACCTTTGTAGTGTCTTTTGCTTTCCTGTTGTGAGAGATGAGAGACAAATTATGGGAGATAAATTAGGCAGCTCTTCACCCAGTGTGCAGTTCAGGGAAGCTGGGGGAACAGTTCCAAACCAGAAAATCTGTTCATCATCCTTTATTAGAAATTTTTGGGACCGACCCCGTGGCACACTCGGGAGAGTGCGGTGCTGGGAGCACAGCAGCACTCCGGCCGTGGGTTCGGATCCTATGTAGGGATGGCCGGTGCGCTCACTGGCTGAGTGCAGTGCGGCTGACACCCAGCCAAGGGTTGCGATCCCCTTACTGGTCACAAAAAAAAAGAAAGAAAGAAATTTTTGGACAACCCCACCTTTGAAATGTCTCTTTTTTCCTTAAGTTTATTCAATAGAGACTTTAGGAATTTCTTTGACCTACCCTCATATACATTTTCTAACTGTTCATCTTTTGAATCTTATCATATATTTTTTTCCGGCATGGAGTCTTTGTCCTGCCTTTGTCTTAATCTCACGCACATTCACCAAATACAGAAGATTTCAAAGAATATTGAGAAAATTGTTGCTTAAATTTTAGTTAACACTGCCCTATATTGACTAAAAGACTGTAATAAAATTAATATCAGGCTTCCTTCGCAGGCTCAGGGTTCCCCACTGGGTCTGAGACCCGCTCTGGGTGGCATCTGGCATTCCCACTTCTCTCCCCACAGCCACGTCCCACTGTCCCCCAGCCTCCTGCGGCACCTCAGCTGTAACTCCAGAGTCCTCTAGTGTTTACAAGAGCACAGGAAATGAATACATCTCCGTCCCAGCTGCCAAAATTTTGGAAGCTTTGAAGCTTAGCAAAGAAGGGAAATCCATTGAGAATAGTCTATAAAAGCTCAGAGAGTAAGAATTTCCTGTGTCGAGGTGGCGGTGGTGGGGACGGCGGCGGCAGGGACGGTGATGACGTGGAGGTGGAGAGGGAACTGGCCCGGCCCAGCCCCGTGAGTGACCCCCAGCCCGGCCATGCTCGCAGGGCGGATGCCTGCCCAGCTTCTGCCTGCCCCACCGGGCCACTCACCGGCCCCGGGGCTGCCTCCATTTACGGCTCCGGCCCAACTCAGCCAGGCCTGTCCTCCTCGCCTGGCTTGGCTCCTCACTGGGCCTTCCCACTTGCTATCCCCAGCACGGGGCTTCCCAGGGCCTGCGGGCCAGCCTCCCCTCCCACTCCCTCCGTGGTTCTCTGGAGGGGCTGGTGGCATGGGGCGTCCCCAGCCAGCGTCGGGAGGGCAGGGAAGTGCGGCCCGGCTGACTGTCACTCCACGGCACCCTGGGCTCTGGCCCCCGGTAAACTTCCTGTTACCGGGAGGCAGACACCATCTCTGCAGCCAACAGTTCAAAAAAACACCTAACCGATGTCTGGTTAGGAATAGTGTGGTCGGAACGTTCCCCAGTTTGCTTGAACCTGCTGGAGAGCTGTCTGTGGGCGGGCACTGGAGTCGGTCTGGGGGGGTGGTTCAAAGGTGAAGAGACCACACACCCTGCAGTACCGCCCCGTGATCCAGCAGCCCAGCAGAGTACAAGCTGACCAGAGAGGTGGCTCCCCGGAGAGGCCCAAGATCCAAGGCAACCACACACACAAGGCACTAGAGGCCAACTGAGCAGTCACGGAGGTAGCCATACCAAATTGGCAACCACAGCAACATCTTAGTTAGTCTATAGTCTCAAACCGGTGGACTGTGAAACCCCCAGCCACAATGAATAAACATCAAAAAATAAGATACGAGAAATACAAAAAATCAAGAAAGTACACCACCAAAAGTTAATAAATTTCAAACTCTAGATCCTATAGAACAAGAAGCCCTTGAAATGACTGACAAGGAATTTCGAGTGATAATTCTAAGGAAACTGAATGAGATACAAGAAAACTCAGCTAGACATCATGAGGAAATGAGGAAAAGTATACAGGACTTGAAAGAGGAAATGTAGAAGGAAATCAATGTCCTGGAAAAAAAATGTAGCAGAACTTGCAGAACTGAAGAAGTTATTCAGCAAAATAAAATACACAATGGAGAGTTTAACCAGCAGGCTAGCAGAAGTGGAAGAGAGAACCTCTGAACTTGAAGATGGGCTGTTTGAAATAACACAAGCAGACAAAAAAAAAAAAAAAGAAAGAAAGAAAAAAGAATCAAAGACATTGAGTTAGACCTAAAGAAGGAAATAGATGCTAATACCATAATAGCAGGGGACCTGAACACCCCACTGTCAATATTAGCCAGATCATCTAGGCAAAAAATCAGCAGAGAAACACAAGATCTAAACAATACTCTAGACTAATTGGACATGGCAGATATCTACAGAACATTCCATTCAACAACCTCAGAATATTCATTCTTCTCATCAGCACATGGATCATTCTCCAGGATAGATCACATATTAGGACACAAATCAAGTCTCAACAAATTCAAAAAAATTGGAATTATCCCATGTATTTTCTCAGACCACAATGGATTAAAACTAGAAATCAATAATAAACAAAACTCTGGAAAGTATACAAACACATGGAAATTAAACAGCATTCTACTTAACGATACATGGGTCCAAGAAGAAATCAAACAGGAAATAAAAAAATTTATTGAAACTAATGAAAA